TACAAGTGTTTCTAGGTAAAATATTTTTCTGAGAAAATAAATTTCTTTTTTAGGTGAAATTTTTTTTTATATTATTTTTTGGTGTTCGGCAAATATTTAAGTTTATATTGAAGTCTGAGTCTATCGGACGGGGACATATAAAATAACTTATTAAAAAAATTTTAATAAAAAAAAAATCTAAAAATATTTTACATCCAAACAAGAGCCTAAATAAGTATTGTTTTATATTTAAAATAAAAATTTAAAAAAATAAAAAAAACAAATGTATAATACCTTGTACATTCTAAGGGCAATCTCTCTTCCCCTCCAAGCCCAGTTTTCAAAGCTGGACCTCATATAATATGATTCATATTCGGCGCTCGCGGAGGTGACAAACCACATCTCTTGTTTCATTTCGTTACCTTTTAAATCTATATATATATATATTTTTTAGAAAGGTAAATAAATTTTATAAAATAGCAACAATAGTACAAGCTGGATGGTTAGCCCAAGCTAACCGAATAAACAAGCCCAAGAGTACAAGGCCCATCCCAGAGCTGCCCACACAGGAGCCACAGAAAAAAGGTTGCCCAAAACTGGACGCAAACACAAAGCAGTGAACATGGAGAAGAATTCTCGCCCTTCAAGCACTTAATTATTGTCTGGAGGCTTTGCCCGCGGCCGAGCAACAGAAATGAATAAATTTTTTAAATCTATCTTCTTTATGTGATCTGTCACATTTTTTATTTGGGAACTGCCTATGTGGGTTTGTCTTTTCTTTTGTTGTTAAATGTTGTGAATGGTGGTGCTTATTGAAAGCTGTGATGATGTATGTGAATGATCCTCTCCCAAGACTCCACTAGCTGTGTTTACATATACTTTATTTGTTTTTTTATATATTTTTTTGAATTGCATGTCCTATTTAAGAGAATCTGATGAAATGTACTATTAAGATCTTCAGATTTGATCTATGTTTATATAATAACTGAAAGAATAAAAATTTATGGACTTTTTTTTTTATTTTTATTTTTTTTATGTCAATTTATGAGCTCTAAAGTGAGGGCTGTTGTCTGGTTCACCGGTTTACATGATGTAGTTACTGTACTCTAAATATATGAGGTTAGGTTTGTCTTCCTTAAGGTCTTGGCACAATCGTAAGGTTGCTTTATTAAAAAAAAAATCTCTTTACATATACAGATAATATGAGATACATCAAATCCTCCTAGGTCTCGCAATAATAGGAGTCTCGTGTACCGGGTAGTCCTCTTTTAGGTTTGTCTTAAGTCTCTCGAGTCTCGCCCCAAAATCCTGTTGCAGCAGGACCAAAACAGGGTAATGAGCCTTCAAAGGAAGGGTGGCAGGTTTGACAATGTATATGGGTTGCAGTATTAGTTTTGCTTTGAAAAAATCTCCAGGCTTTCCACTACATGCTGCATCCTGCTCATGAAACCTATTAGGCTATTCCCATTAATTTGAAAAATGATAGCTTCCAAGCTTAAGAAAGCACTGGCCTCATAAGTTGACTTTGTAAATGCCCAGAAAAGCCATGATTTGGAAGTTGAAACCCATTTCCCCCTCTGTTTCAATCAATGTGACCTCACTGCTATCGCAAGGCCAGCTCAGTATAATTTGGGGACAGAGTCGAGATTTTTGGTTGAGATTTCCAAGAATGACACGGCCATATGACTTGGACCATAGCCATCAAAATAGTAGCATAATCGTTCATATCCGCCGGGGCATAAAAATTCATATGATTATATCTCATCCGTATATACATAGAATGGTTCCATCAGATTATATCATCTGAGATTCTGAATGCAGATCGAGTACTAAACAAGAAAGTTCATCATAGATTCAATAGTACACCTTCCCTAATAGAAACACTATGGCCAGAGACGGACCCAGAAAATTTGTGAGGGGGCAAAAGTGAATTTTTTTTTTTTTTTGTAATTTCGGGAGGTGGCAACATTAAAATTTCATAGGTTGAAAAAGAAAAAATTACTACTATTAAAAAAAATTCAGCCCCCCCAGCTCCTCTGTAAAAAGATAACATTCAAGAAGACCAAACTAATTGGATTTTAAACCAAAGAACAAGAATATAAGTAAATAGAAATTTAACGCATATTTTTCGTAAATTTTACATTAAGAATGATAAGTTTGACTAAGAACTACATTAAGAATGATAAGTTTGACTAAGAACGAAGAATAAGAATTCGCCTTATTTTTGAAGCCCAAGATGCTCACGAGAGAAAACATCGTCTTCGAGTGAGAGTTTGCCACAATGCCCGTTAGGCTATTCTTTGATTGCCATTGTAAGGTTCTTTTTTTTTTTTTTTTTTTTTTTTTTTTTTTTTTTTTTTTTTCTTTTTCCTTTGAACTTAGTCATAATGTTAGGAACACAAAACATAACTTAGTTTTGTTCTTTGTCAAGTGGGGACCTTAGGCCATTGCCTCAATGGCCTTTATAGTTGAACTTCTATGCTATAGTGACTAAGATATAAAAGTTAGCTTGTGTTGAAAAATAAACTTGATTTTAGTAGTTAGTATTTTCAAATATTTTTATATCCATGATGCATGTGTGAATTTAGCATATATGTTAATAGGTAGTAAATTGTCTTAGTGGGAGTTAAAGTATTGGAAAATCAAGAGTCATGAGAGTTATAACTAGTAATGGTCATTTTAGTGGGTTAGTGGGAGTTATGCCTATTGAAGATTACACATACATATGTGAGGCCTATATAATCATGTACTCTAGTCATTTTAGAATAAGAATATGTTGGATATAAGTGAAATAATATATTTCTTCCTCTATTTTTCTTTCAAATTATATAGAGTTGCATTTATTTGTAAAGCCCACTATTTCCAACAAAGTGGTATTAGAGAAATAGCCAACAAAGTGGTATAAAAGCCAAGTTATTATCAGAACCAGGTTCCATATTAGAGCCAGATTCATGTTTAGAGACTAGACAATCCTAAAGGCGTGACGAAGTTGATCCTAGATGGTTCAACATTTTAAGGAAACATGTTTCTCCTTGATGATGAAGAAGAAGGGAAAATGTATTTTCTTAGTGAAAAGATGATGTTTTCTAATTACAAGAGAAATGAGAATCATCATGACTTCATACCTCAAAGCATGTGATTTGTGGGATGTTGTTGGAGAAGAGCCAAAGAATGACATGTCCAACAAATTTCGTGAAAAAAAAGAAGATAAGGCATGGGTAGTGTTGCAAAAGGTAATACATCAAGACATTTGAGAGTATTTTGGAGAGTCCAAAACTCCAAGTTGTATTTAGAAGATGCTCGAGATCATCGTTTCCAATCATAGAGGTGAATCATTACCCATGAAGTATTGGGTACAATGCTTTGAAGATGATGAGTTTACGAATGCTGATTATGAAAGTTTTGAGGACAAAGTTGTGGAGAACGAAAAGGTGTATCATGTAAAAGAAGTTGAAAATTTTGGAGATTCAAAAGTTAAAGGAGAATTTGAAATGATGAATGAGGAAAAGGTAAGAAAAGATGTTAAAAAAGAAATTGAAAAAGTGGAGGATGAAGTGAAAATAGAAGATTTAGAAGAAGAAATTGCTAAAGAAGATGCAAAAGTTCAAGTTGGTGAGTTAACATTTTCAAGTATGGTTACAAATTCTACCTTGAAAGAAGTTATATTTGACTTATTTGATGAAATTATTATTTCTTCATATTCATCAAATAATGTTTTTTTTTGTGGAGAATGATAAACTTCTCTTCAAGAAAATTATTCCAATTAATTATGAGATTGAAGCTAAAGGCGAGAAGAATTTTTTGAATTATTTTTTACAAGATGGTCTGGAGAATTTTGTAATTGACACAGGTTGGGTGAATATGGAGTTATTTTTTTATTCCAAAGAAGAAGCACATAAGAAGTTCAAGAAGTTTCAAGAATTCAAGAAGAGAGAAAAAGGATGGTGCACCCATGTAAAGAAGATAAATGTTGATCATAAGAGAGCATTATTCAAGCATTTAAAGAAGTTTCACAAGCCCTACACATCAATGGAAATGGCCAAGAAGATTGAAGCTATTGAAGGAAGTGGAATTGAAGATCAACTATCGAACTTTTGATCAAGCCTCCAAGATTAATAAGAAGTTTATTTTCAAGTTACAAAATCAAGTTTAAAGGGGGGTGTTGAAAAATAAACTTGATTTTAGTATTTAGTATTTTCAAGTATTTTTATATCCATGATGCATGTGTGAATTTAACATATATGTTAGTGGGTAGTAAATTGTCTTAGTGAGAGTTAAAGTATTGTAAAATCAAGAGTCATGAGAGTTACAACTAGTAATGGTCATTTTAGTGGGTTAGTGGGAGTTATGCCTATTGAAAATTATGTTAGTGGGACATTTAAATGTAATGGGTACACGTACATATGTGAGACATATATAATCATGTACTTTAGTCATTTTAAAATAAGAATAAGTTGGATATAAGTGAAATAATATATTTCTTCCTCCATTTCTCTTTCAAATTATATAGAGTTGCATTTGTTTGTATAGCCCATTATTTTTAACAAAGTGGTATCAGAGCAAAGTCAGAAAGTGGTATCAGAGAAATAGCCAACAAAGTAGTATCAAGAAATAGCCAACAAGCTTGTGCTAGGTTTTTTCCTTCGATGTCCAAAATTTTGTCAACCCATCTCATGACTTGGTTGGAAAAATCTAGTTTAGACAAAGGATCCAAATATGAAATGATCGAATTTACTTAGATGGAAACCATTGGGAATCAGCTCTTGATGTCTCTATTAGTATATTGTGCCCTTTTCCATAATTAGGATTACAACAGGAAAAACAAAAAGCATACATCCTTTATTGGTGGGAAAACAACAGGAACATCTGCATATACCTCTAAAAAAAGAAGGTACAATCCATATATATTAGACAGGTCAAGGACAACATACTGTTCTCCCTGAACAACATCTCTTATCTTTTGCCATGTTTATTCTCTTTATTAATTTCCCAGTTCAAAAGGAAGAGATTAGAGAGAGTTCTCAAATCTTTGCATATTCAACAGTGTCCTTCCCATCATGAGGTTTCTTGAAGAAATGCCTAACATAATCCGAGTAGAGAACTTCCTTATATATTGGTTTCTCTCCACTCTCGAGCACCTCCGGCAAAGGGCCAATAACATCACCAGGTCTTGGGTTCACAAAGATTGGGATTGAAATCCTGGTGTTGCTTCCATTAGCAATCACACGGTGCTCAATGCTCTTGTATCGTCCATTGCTCATTATCTGTAGTGCATCACCGATGTTGATGACAAGCGATCCATTGACCGGTGGGACATGGATCCAACTTTCGTCCCCATCCATTTTCCTCACATAGAGCCCACCAATATTGTCTTGGAGTAGGACAGTTAGTGTTGAGACATCTGAGTGACGCCCTATTCCTACTGTTAGCTCAGGATTAGGACATTTGGGATAGTAGTTTAGGTTGATTCTCTTTGAACCCATCAAAAGGAACTCTTTTGTTTGGTCAATCACCTTTACATTGAGTCTATTCATCAGTGCCTCTAACAGCCTCCTAATTACAAACTCAGATCTCTTCATGAATTCCAGTGCTTGGTCCCTAAATTCATACAATAGTTAGTATATGAAAACATTGTATTAACCTCTCTCTCTCTCTCTATATATATATATATTGAAAGGTGTATTAACCTATATTCGTGTATTAATTAATGCACAAATACATGCATTGGTAAGGAATGATACGATAGTATGCAGATTGACTGGGGCTATGGCCTTAAATAGACCATAATGAAAACAAAAGATTCATGTTCCAATCCTAAATAGTTGAGAAAAAGGCCTAGTTGTTGAAATTAGTGCAGAGACACACACACACGTATATATGTTAACCGACATCTATTCTTTGTTAACAACTGCTGAAAGAGGAAGTGTTTATTGTATAATAATAATAAATAAATAATATACAAATTTAATTAGTTAAGAAGTGCTGAAAGGATGAGGAACGACTGAATTGTAAAAACCCAAGAAGGGTGATATACAAATATAGTTAATATTTGCATTTATGCACGTATATAAGTGTGTAAATGCATGTGTTCATGGGTGCTTGTATCTGCATAATTGTTTTGTGTGTATGCATCTATGACTGTATATTTGTGTTCTACTGTTTCTTTAATAAAACTTTGCATGCTTACTTGCACGCAGGAGGCCAGAATGCACTAGCATCATCTTCTGAAACATAGAAGAGGCTAAGGTAATCTTTCCACTCCAGAGCCTTCTCAGCCACAGGACTGAAGCTCGTGCCAAACCGGACATTGTTGGTAAGGGAATGCTCTTTAGAGTACTTCCTCTTCTCCTCTGCGGGCAATCCAAAGAACTCATGAGTCGCGTTCTTCACATCCTCAAGTACTTCAATGGGCACACCATGATTGACAATTTGAAAGAACCCCCACTTCTCTGCTGCATCACATATCGTTTCAGCCACCTTCGGATCATCCCAATTTGACATGTCAATGACTGGTATGGACTCTTCAGACGCTATTTTGATGGTACTAGCCCTTTCTTCAAGAGGTTGAATATATTGCTTGGGTAGGGCACTGAGTCCCATATCTGCAAGACCCTTCACGCCATAACCTTCTTTCATTACAAAGTTTTTGACATCCGACGAGCCGGAGAGAAGTGTGGACACGGCCGGGGCCATTGTTAGAGAGTTTTAAGGAATGAGAACTTTAAGGTATTTGCCAGAAAGGAGTAGAAAAGGTGATGGTGTAGTTTGTATCCCATGAAAGGTATTTATACTCGTATTGTTTGACAATGCCTACAATTTTTTTTTCCCCTTATTGTTGCTAGACTTGCTATGTTCATGCCTTGTCAACTGTCCTCTATTAAGGTGCATTGTTTTTAGACTGTTAACAAAATAATTCTACTTCTCGTACAGTACTAGTCCTGAGATTTTTAATTGCAGATAATGTCAAGAGAAAAAAAAAAAAAAAAATTGCAGATAATGACTGATTGCTCTGATCCACGCATTGTTTCCAACCCTCATTGACTGACCCAAATATCACACCACTAGTCTTATATTGATCAATGACTTGAAGTTGAGAGAACTATTAAATGTCTCAGACCAATAATTATAATGCTATTGGGTAGAATAGAATTGAAATTGGAAAAAATTAGTTCAAAGTTTGTGCATTAATTCAAGGCATTAATTTCATACCACATAAGGATGTTTGTGTACTTTATTTAAGAAGGAAAATGCTAAATATCACTAAAATAATACAATAGTATATAGTGCAATAACTTAAAGGCTTGCATTTACATTCCTGTGATATCGAAATAGTACGTATAACTCCCCATTATTTGTTCACCTCCCCTATACTTTAAAAATGGTGCGAATTAGTGTCTTTTGGGAGTTAACCTCTATTGATCGGTACCGAAACTACAAAAAGACTAAAATCCCTCCCCCCCCCCCCCCCCCCCCCGGCGCGAAGTTAACCTCTATTAATCGGTACCGAAATTACTAAAATCCCCCCCCCCGCCCCCCCAAAAAAAAAAAAACTACAAACTACAAAATCTATCAGAAGTGCAAAACCAATATATTTGAGTTTATCTATCTGTCTGCAAGAATCAAAAGTTTAAAACCTATTACCTATATCAAAACCCATATCGGTATATCATTTCAGATTGTTCAAAAAATCAAAACCCATATCTTTCCATTTCCATCACCCGTTGTTCCAGTTCGGGTTCGCCGTTCGCAAGCTTCAGTCGCTGTCTCTCAACTCTCAAGCTTGCCCTCTCTCTCTCTCTCTCTCTCTCTCTCTGCAACTACAAACTACAAAATCTACAAGAATCAGAAGTTTAATTAAAACCCATATATTTCAGTTTATCTATGGGTTTTGTTTTATTTTTTTTTCTAAATCAACTAATCAAGGTTTATAATTCTTGTCTTGCAAACTAAATCCTATTTGGTGAAATTTTTTATGATTTTTTTATATATTAGGGCAAATCATTTCAGCCTCCCCAATCGCCTCCAACTCTATTCTTGTTCTCAACTCTAAACTTAACGGCCCCCTCTCTCTCTCTGTAACTGCAAACTACAAAATCTACAAGAATCAGAAGTTCAAAATCCATATATTAAAATCTAATTTCTTTGAATTTTTTTTTCGATAATAATAATTTTGAACTTTTTTTTGAAAAGGAATAATTGTGAACTTCCATATGTAAGTAGATATAATTAAATGACAATTTTGAATTTAATATACATATATATGCAGATCTGAGGCTCCTCTACCTGTCTTGGGAGGCATGGTAACCGCCCTTAAGCTCCTGCTTTTCCCTGCAAAAATTCTCTAGTGAGAAAATCAGGAAGAGAATTGTTTTCTCCTTTTATATATTCAATATCAAAGTCAAATATAGAAAGAATAGCTTGCCATCGGGCAAAAATTTGTTTTGAGGCTATGTTATGAACATCTTTCTTTAAAACAGTTTTTGCAGATTGGCAATCAATACGAACTAAAAATTTTTGATTTAGTAAATCACTTTGAAATTTTGAAATGCATAAAACTATAGATAAAATTTCCTTTTTGATTGTAGAGTAATTTTGTTGTGCTTTGTTCCATGTGGCAGAGGCGAACTGAACTAGTTGTTCATTGTCACCTGTTTTTTGTTTTAGGATACCTCCATATCCTAATTCAGAGGCATCAGTTTCTACAATTTTGAAGGCTTCTGAATCAACAATAGATAGGCAAGGGAGGTTTTTTGCTTTACTTTTAAGGATTTTGACTGTTTTTGTATGTTCATCGGACCATGGGGGAGGGGACTTTTTTAATCTTTGGCGTATTGGAGCACAAAGAAGAGAAAGATCCTTGAAAAACTCAGAAAGATAATTTAGGCATCTTAAAAATCTTTGAAGCTGGGTTTTGTCTTTAATTTCATCAGGGAATTTGTCAGCAAATTGGATGGATCTGTTGATTGAGATGACAGTTCCTTGGTAGATCTGAAAACCTAAGAACCTAATCTTGGTCTGAAACAAGGTTAACTTTGATAAAGAAATGACTAATCCATTATGCTTGATGGTTTGAGCAAATATATTGAGATGTTTCCAATGAGCATCTATAGAAGAAGAAAATATTAGTATATCATCAATATAAACAATTGAAAAATTCATAAGATGAATAAAAATATCATTCATAATTTTTTTGGAATTCTGAAAGGGCATTTTTTAATCCGAAAGGCATCATATTCCATTCGTAATGGCCAAAAGGAACCGTGAAAGCTGTTTTGTATCTATCTTTTTCAGTAATTTGGATTTGCCAGAATCCTAACTTGAGATCAAACTTTGAGAAAACAGTTGCATGAACTAGACATTGGATTAGGTCCTTTTTGTTGGGCAGGGGATACCTGATCCATTGAAGAACTTCATTGAGGGGCTTGTAATTGATAACTAATCTGGGAACACTTCTTTCTATTTCAGCATTCTTTTGGACATAGAAAGCAACACAGCTCCATGGGGAACGGCTTTTTCGGATGAGGGATTTGTTCAATAATTCCTGTACTTCTTTCATACAGTAATCAAGAAGTTCTTGACTCATTTGGCTAGGACGGGCTTTGGTAGGGATATCCTTTTCATTGAAATATTTTTCATAAGGTAATTCAACAATGTGTTGTCTTCTGTGCCAAAAAGCGTTTGGGAGATCAGAGCAAACTTGACTTTCAAGTCTCAATCTGAACCTTTGAATAGAGTCTTGGAGACTTTTGTGACTGAGTCGTTCATCAATCTGTTTGAAGATTAGTTCTTGTTTGAGAAAGTCTAAATGCTTCGTTTTGCTCTCAATCCTGTTGACAGCAGGGACCTGAGTAACATAGGAATCCTTAATGGTATTGAGATCCTTGGTGTCTATAGGATGAGCAAAAGGAAAGCAAATTTCTTGTCCAACTAGACTTGTTGAAATGCCTTGGCTATCAACTTTGAACGGGTAAAGAAGAGAAATAAATGGAGTTCCCAAAATAACAGGGGTATTGAGGTCTTTGATAAGAATGAAAGGTGTTTTAATACAAAGACCCTTTGATTACAAACATGGGCTTTGGTTAACTTGTACTGAACAGCGAGTCACGAACCATTAGCACCTTGAAGTCGTTCTTTGGTTTTCTCAAAGTATTTCGTAGGGACAAGTCATTCATTGATACAATTGAGATCAGCACCAGAGTCAATGAGAGCCACTGTATGAATGGTATGGTCTTTGTTGATGACAATTTTCAGATTAACATGCCATTTCTAAAATGTTATCTGGGTCAGAAGGTTGATGTAACTCTCATTGTCCTTGGTGGGATTTTCAGAAACTTGTTGTTCAAGTTTTGCAGAGGACTTAGGTAGTAAGGCATCTATCTGGGATTGTTGAAAAAGAATTTGGCTTCTGAGGGTAAGGATATCATGAGCAGTGGAATCTTTCAAAGCCTTGCCCTCTTGCTTTAGGATTGAAATCTCTTGCTTGATTTGTTTGATTTCTTTATGGAGATCTTGAATCGTAATTGGCATCTGGGGCTTTGTACAAAATCTTTCAAAGATATCAGTAAGGTTGTAAGTATTTGGTATAACAGCGGGAGCTTTGTCGTTCCTTTGGCCAATGCTGTTGGTGAATTTAATCAAGCATTCCTTGCGCTGATCAAAATCTTCTATTTTGTCAATGAGTTCCAACATGAATTCTTGATCCTTAGTAATTATACAGATGCATTTGGTTTTGATAGGTTGGTCATCCAAAGATGGGTTGAAAGAATTAGAATCATAATTTGTATCAGCATGATAGTCATCTTCTTGAATACCATTGATATCATGTTCGGATTCTTCATCTGAAGAGTTTAAAAGAATTTGCATTAGTTGGCTTCTGATGGTTTCGGGGAGATCAAGTATATTGATCTTCTGTTTGGCCCTGCAATCGCGTTTGTAGTGACCCATCTTGCCACACTTGAAGCATTTTATATCTGCTTTTGAGGTGACAGGCTTCTTTTGAAAATGTTTTGGAGGAGGGGCATTTTTCTGTCTATTTTTCTCAGAGGAGAGATATTTATCTGCAACGGAGGGCTTGTTCTTGTTATACTGTGACCTGTTTTCGTATCTCTTGGGAAAAGTCTTTCTGTAGCGGGTGTGACTCTTTCGTTTGGAAGGAGGGGTTAGGTTTTCAAAGCCGAATTGTTGGCAAAAAGTTCTTAATTCGTTTTTGCTAGTGGCATTCTCATGCTTGATTTGCTGTTGGAGTTTGAAATCGGTGCAGAGAGCAATTCCTTCAGCTGTAATGGTACTGATGATGTCACCATAGGTGAGGGAGTCATAAGGAATATAGCCATTATGTTTTGATCTGAAATGCTTGTGAATTCTTTCAGCAAAAAAATTGGGGAATCCAGCAATGAACTTTTTTTTTCCAAAAGGCTTGGTTACAATCAGTCCTGGTAAAGACCTTTGAGAGGAAGACATCCTTGTACCATCTGAAATCCTGGAGTTTGCGACATCTAAGGTTGGCTAAAATTTCTGAGGTCTTATCTCTAACAATTAAGAGGTCACCGAGGAATTGTTTAGCGATAGAGAAAATGAGAGTAGCAACTGCATCTTCTATATCTGCACCTTCTTCTGTTTTGATAACTGTTCCTTCAGGAGTTGTTTTGACAGAGTTAAGAATGGCTTGTCGTTTATCTGGAGTGAGAATATATGTTATCCCACCATCCTTTGAGTTGGCTTGTGAATCCTCCTACGAGGAGTTGTGCTATAGCATGATCAGAAGAGTCATTCTTGGTTTTGTAAGCAGTGCTGACCATTGTCATTTCTTGAAGTGTATTAAGAATGTGATACTCAGTTTTGCCATCTATGTTCCATTCATAAATGGTACCACCATGATAAGCAGCTTGGGAAAACTGGCCTCGTTATTCGATCTGGAGGTCAGGGAAAGTTGACCTGGGATAGTAGTTTCGAGAAGAAGTTGGTTCTAAAGTATTGACATGTTGGTTCTAGAAGACCTCAGTAATTTCATCAATTTCAGTATCAGTACCAATTTCTTGGTCAAGAGTATTGATGGCTCTAAGGGGTCTTTCAGGCGTATCAGGAATCGTAGTTGTGGAAGTCATAA